GCCTGGAAGAGACTCAGAGGCGACCATAATGTCTTTACGTTTACACGCACTGCCCACCCTGCCTGGAGTTGTCAGACGGGGCTGCAAGGAACTGCTGTGTTTGTTGGTTATCACGGTGACTGTGAGCCGAGGCGCCTCCGGGGTGTGCCCCACCGCTTGCATCTGTGCCACTGACATCGTCAGCTGCACCAACAAAAATCTGTCCAGGGTGCCTGGGAACCTTTTCAGGCTGATCAAGAGACTGGATCTGAGTTACAACAGAATTGGGCTTCTGGATTCTGAGTGGATTCCAGTATCCTTGGTAAAGCTGAACACCCTCATTATTCGGCACAACATCATCATGAGCATTTCCACGGACAGTTTTTCCACCACTCCAAATCTGAAGTGTCTTGACTTGTCTTCCAACAAGCTGAAGACTGTGAAAAGTGCAGTGTTCCAAGAGCTGAAGGTTCTGGAAATGCTTCTGCTTTACAACAATCACATTTCCTATCTGGATCCTTCAGCGTTTGGAGGGCTCTCCCAACTGCAAAAACTGTACTTAAGTGGAAACTTTCTCACGCAGTTTCCCATGGATTTGTATGTTGGAAGGTTCAAGCTGGCAGAACTGATGTTTCTAGATGTTTCTTATAACCGGATCTCCTCTCTGCCAATGCATCATATAAATTTAGTGCCAGGAAAGCAACTGAGAGGTATCTTCCTTCATGGAAACCCCTTTGTCTGTGACTGTTCCCTCTACTCCTTGCTGATTTTTTGGTACCGTAGGCACTTCAGCTCAGTGATGGATTTTAAGAATGATTATACCTGTCGCCTGTGGTCTGACACTAGGCACTTCCATCAGGTGCTTCTGCTCCAGGATAGCTTCCTGAACTGCTCTGACAGTATCATCAATGGTTCCTTCCGTGCCCTTGGCTTTATTCACGAGGCTCAGGTCGGGGAAAGGCTGATGGTCCACTGTGACAGCAAGACTGGTAGGGCAAACACCGATTTCATGTGGGTCGGTCCAGATAACAGAGTACTGGGGCCCGACAAAGAGATGGAAAACTTCCATGTGTTTCCCAACGGAAGCCTGGTTATAGAAAGTCCTCGTTTTGAGGATGCTGGAGTGTATTCCTGTGTTGCAATGAATCGCCAACGTCTGTTAAATGAAACTGTGGATGTCACAATAAACGTGAGCAATTTCACCATAAACAAATCCCACGCGCACGAGGCATTTAACACAGCTTTTACCACGCTTGCAGCCTGCGTAGCCAGCACTGTTTTGGTCCTTCTGTACCTCTATCTGACACCATGTCCCTGCAAGTGTAAACCCAAGAGACGAAAAAATATGCTAAACCAAAGCAATGTCCATGCATCTATTCTCACTCCCTGCCCTGATAGCGAGGCCGCCACCGATGAACGGAAGGCAGGGGCCGGGAAAATAGTAGTGTTTCTGGAACCCTTGAAGAATACCGCAGCAGGGCAGAATGGGAAGGTCAGGCTCTTTCCCAGTGAAACGGTCATAGCTGAGGGCATCTTAAAGTACACGAGGGAGAAATCCGACTCAGATTCGGTCAGTGTTTTCAGACACACCCTTTGTGGCGTCCACTTAATTTTGTGCCTGCATTTGTACTATGTAGTGATTGAATCTCTTTATATTCAACTTTGTGTGTGGTCTGCAAGAATAAACAGCAGGGCAGAAATGGGGTTGTTCCGTGTTTCAGAAATAAAACCAAAGGGTCTCTTTCACTGGTTCATAGGAAATGTGGTAAAGCACTTAGGTTCATGCCAGAGAAAGATGGAGTTGTATTTCAGAGTTTTAAATTCTAGATAATACCTTCATCTTTCAAAGCTGGCCTGGAGGCGACGTGACTGACATTGTCCTTTCACCCAGGATTCTTGAAAGAAAAGCTAAATTTTAGGTATTAGAGATTTTACTAACTTATTGGGACCAAATTTGAGTTATGTTAAAGAAAAGTGTTCATTTTTAAAAGATGCAGAAGGAAAAACCAAGCAGCAGTTGTTTATAAAGCACAAAGTAAAGTTAGATTTGGGGATACTTCAGTTCATGTTATCATTGCAGACCAGAGTAAATAGACAGTCCTGCTCAAATTTGCTGAGCAGTCCTACATCACATATGGTGTTAGATAAATGGTACAGTAAAGGTGCATTTGTTTGACTGTCTTCTTTCCATTCTGTACATCTCCTATCCTTGTACAAAAGATCTTATTGAAAGTTTAAAGCCATCATTATTTGTTGCCATAAATATGTAGGTGTCAATGCCAAAATGTCTGAGTGACTTCTTCAGCCTTTGTTCTAGGAGACTAGTATTTGTCTATATGCTTGTGTGTGTATAAGTCTCAAATTATATGAACTGTTAAAGAGATGCCACTATATTGTACTTTGGACATTTGAATTAATGTAAATACATGTGTTCTGTGACTTGATGTTCTGTTTTATTTGGCTATTTAAAAATATAAATCTAAGATGTTTTATGTGATCTGATTGTGCTGCTTTGTGTTAAGCACCATGTATTGCAAATTACTCTCCAAATTTCTTATACAGTATAGAGGTTTTTTAAAGAGGAAAAAAGGCTATGGAGTGTCCTACCCAGTGTATACCTTCAGTATCCCATTTTACCTGATACCATTATGCACTTCAGCCAGGTTTGAATGTCACTTAAGCTCTGAATTCGGTACATGTAGGAGCCTCCTTATTCCCATCTCTACTGTGAGATAATCAACTACCCACTTTGGACCTAGGTTTTCTCAGCTATGAAATTGAGATTTCAGAGGTTCCTTCCCACCCTGGAAGTGATGACTTCCCGGTGGTCTTAGCTCCATCACAGACTTGCACTGGTTTTCGGAAAATACACCACGTACTGATAGAGGACAGGAATGGGATTAGGACAGACTAGCGTAGTACTAGCCTTGGTCTGAAGGACTATGATTTTGGATTATCAAGTCCAGCTGCTTTACTTTCTCAGGGATAAATGAAACCCAGAGAGGGCTGTGGGTTGTCTAAGGCCACAGGAGTTAGTGACAGGGATTCAAGGAGAGCTCAGTTTCCAGGTTCTTCCTGGTGAAGATAAGAGAGTCAAAAAGTGGCTATTTTTAATGATAAGGATGGTGAAGTAGCCAAAGAATGAGGCAAAACAGTGGTCAGAAAATGACAAAGGAGAATGAATCAGGGATGTGTTGTCACCGGGGCTGAGAGAGAAGATAATTAAAAGATGGAGGTAGGCCACAATAATAAGTATTTGGAGAACTGGAGAATGAGATGAGGAGGGAAGACTGACTTTGGTAATGGTGGTTTTGGGGGAACAGTGGATCCTTGGTGACAGCTTGATAAGTGCCAAGCCAAGCACCTAGTGGCAGATACTGGTCAACTGTGGGTTAAGGAGTGGGTGAGTGGTGAGGATGTGTGCATAGGAAATAGGATAGGATGTTACCTGTTGCTCAGTTGACTTGACAGTTCCTTATTGCCTAGTTGATGTTGAAAACACTGCCTCTACCTTCTAAACATAGACCTCACCTGTTAGATAAGATCCTTCAGTCCCAAGGATATTACAGGAAAACATTTTGTTCCAGTTCCTGCCATTTAAGCAATTAGGAAGAATTCTGTGATTGTGTGACTCTTAAAATTGTTACTCTTTCTTCATTCATATTTGGATGAAGAGATGCTGTGGTTTATTCAGGGTAACACAGGGAGTCAGGACACAGTGAAACTCGTGAACCACAGACACTTCAGGAGGGGGAAGGGCTGCCTCCAGGGGCCATAATCCCCAGGATGCTGAGTGTGAAAGAACATGACCAGCAGTGGGGATGCAGAAGACCTCTGAGTTCAGTCTTTTCTGGGCCAGATCTCTAGGGTCTTTCAACTCTCAAACCCTTGATCCTAGGAAATGCATGTTGCCTTTGGCAAGGGACCATGGTCAGTGCTGGCAGTGGGGAGTTTGGAGAGCCTGATTTTGGCTGGTCCTAATCCTGATTCTTGGTTAAAGGATGAGCTGAATTGAGATCAAAACTAACATATTTACAACTCAAAAAAACATGCATATATACATATACATGTGTATATATATGGATGTATGTATGTAAAACTGAATCACCTTGCTGTCATCTGAAACTAACACAACACTGTAAATGAGCTATATTTCAATAAAAAATAATGCAAAAGCAAATCCTGAATGCTGCAAAGCAAAGCTTTGTTTTGGACTGAAATATGGAGGCATGGTGATGTAAAAGCATAGAACTGAATGCTATGCTGTGACATTTTAACTTCTTAAGTGTATCTTTTCTTTTTTGAGGGGGTGGGGAGGGTAGAAGCCTCGGGGCTTCCCAGGTGGCACTGGTGGTAAAGAATCTGCCTGCCAATGCAGGAGACATGAGACTCAGGTTTGATCCCTGGGTCAGGAAAATCCCCTGGAGCAGGCATGGCAACCCACTCTAGTATTCTTGCCTGGAGAATCCCATGGACAGAGAAGCCTGGTGGGCTCTAGTCTATAGGGTTGCAAAGAGTCAGGCATGACTGACAAGACATAGCATGCACATAGAAGCCTGATCACATGTATTTTAAATGTAGGAACAGAAGTGATTTGTGCATTATAAATTTGTTTCACTCAAAACTTTTATATAATTTTCCTTCCAAGTAATAATTTGGATTTATGTACCTGGGTTATTCTTTTAAGGTACTTAGTATTTTTTATTACTCAGTTATGAGAGAAGTGAATACTCTGGAAAAATCAAACAAAGATCACGTATGTGAAATTTTCCTGGGCTTACAATATTTTTTCACTATAATTATAAGATACTAAGTTGATGATAACACTCTCTATTAACCATGAGTTACATTTTAAAATATACTTTCAAGACCTATTATCTGAACTAATGCCCTAAAACATTAATTTATAGTCAACTTCTGCATGAATCCCCACTGTTTGGCTTAGAGAGATTTAAATGTGTTTATTTTTAGCTTTAGTTACTTGATTTATTTGCCTGGAAAACATTTTTTTTTGTTTGTTTTGTTTTTCATTTCTCTAAATAAACCTTTTTCTAAAATGTTAATCAGAAGGGACGTAGGTGAAACTTACAGGGGTGGAGACATAAGAGGGACAAGAAGATACGCTGTCAGTCCAGATTCTAAAAAGACATCTGATTTGGATCATCCTGCTAAGCGCTGTTAAAACAGTATACAGCCTAAACACCCTCCAATATTGCTGGCTTTTCCTTGGCCATGACTGCTGCTTGCTGATTGTCACCTTTTAATTTCATCTGCTTTACTGAGCAGCAAGTAGGTCTAAATCAGAGCATCACTATGGGATCACAGGAGAAAGTTAGATAAACAGGGGTTTCTAGTAGCTACCCTCTGTACACTTCCTAACCAGAAGTTCTGGTTCAGGCCATCTAGGGTAAGGCCTGCATGTGATTATTTTTTTCCCCCTAAATAATTATGCTTTTACTTATTTTGTTGAAACATACTGCTCCACTGTGCCCCCTCCCCAAAATGAGGCTGTAGCAAATTTTGTGTTTGGGGCTAGGTCAAAATACATTATTATTACTTGCTAATAGATTTGTTAATAAAAAGAAGAATTAGTGCACATAAATTCTAATATGTTGGGAAAATGAAAGAGTTTGATTCTCTGTTACTAAATAAACTCTAGAGTAAATTGTTGGCTATAATTTATAATTTATGATTTTCTAAATTATGAAACACAGAGTAATTACTTTGAGATCAGTAGATCTCTGATTCTTTCATTTTTTAAAACTATTTTTGGCTTGACAGCAGCGACGACAGATCCGGTTCATGACAATGAGCTTTGGGGCTTTCAAATTTGATTAGATCGTAGTAACGTGAAGGCATATCCCAAGGATATCTGAGTGCAGATTTCAGCTGCAGAGAACAAACTTCTTTGTTTTCTTCAGTATATTATTAGAATACTATTTTTAAAAGCGAGTACTGAAATTCTTTTCATTGTTCTCTATACCTCTTTGGCCGAGAACCAGCCCCCAAAGCCATATTTTAAAAAAATTTTTTATAGTATGAAAGTTAGTGTGGAAAGATGATGGTAGTTCACCCTTGCAAGTATTATTGGGTGGTAATACATAAAATGTAGAATCTAAAACTCTTATGATAACCTCCTGACTGATTCAGAGGACTGCTTATGGGACCATTATTATTTGTGAATTGATTCCAGAGGGGTACCCTCTTATAGTGAGGGTCAGAGTAAACAGTATGGAAACACAGACCCTTTTATAAATTGTAAAAGGTGATATATCAATATATGTATATATTAAATATTAAGTGCCTTGCGAAGTGCCAGACATACTGTGAGAGATGGTGCTTATTATTCCTCATCACAGAATCTCTGAAATGGGAAATATTACCACCCCCTTCATTTCAGACAGGAAAAAGAGGTTTAAAAGGGATAAATAATTTTCCCAGGTGACTCAGTTAATAAGTCATTTTCATCATGAAAATCATTTAAAAAATATCTGGCCAGAACTCTTAGAGATGTTCTACCAACAGAATAACTACATGACGCATGGGTCATAAGTAAACTTTTATAAAAGTAATTAGCGCTCCCAGCAAATCTGGGAGAAGAATGAAGTGTCGGGATCAGAAGTCAATCAAACATAATAAAGGTAGAGATTATTGTTTTTTCCCTTAAAACACAATGTGTCACAAGTAGCAAAATTAGAAGTCCATCTGAAAGGATTTGGTCTCATAGGTGAAACCTCCCCAGTCTGCAGGGTCTTTTCATTCTGGTTGCTCTTCACACATGAAATTGCTTAATATGCAAAGCAGATATCTGCTTTATCATTATAACTGACACATTCAAGATTTTTAAATGAGTAAATGCTTAAAATCTTTTTAAAATTAAAAATGGTCCAACTTATAGGACAAATATTTCTGATATAAATGTTTCTGATAATTTATTTTAAATGTCTGGAAGAATGGTGGAGGTAACTCAAACTCAGTAGGGGATATTTTCAACCAATTTTCAAATTAGATTTCTAAAAATTATTAAAAAATTACTGTGTAAGGTAGCTTCACCAGCTTACCTGATTAAATTTCTCTTTTGGGTAATATGTCAACAGAGTATCAAATATCAAGAGAATTTTGCACTGTCTATCAGTGTTGGAGGACAGAGGGAACGAAAAGTACCCACCAAACTGAGGAGGTATCTTGAGACAGAAAAATGAGGCAGGCTGCTCTATATAATCAGTGGATTGGTTTTTTTATAGGGTAACTTACTCACAGGGTAGGATCGGAGTCCAGCAGGCAACTATGCAGAATCAGAGCCACACTGCACCTCCAAGGGGCCACAGCAGCAATTTTGTTGTTAACCCAGGGTATGGAGTAGGTGCTTGGAAACAGGACGTGCATTCCTCAGTCAAGATTCACAAATGGGTCACTAGTCTCATGGGCGCCAGCAATACGTCAGTGAAGGTTTCCATCATTGTCTGGGGACTAACAGAGCATAGAGGCCACCTGGTC